CCGGCCCTCTCCCCCTCCCGCCGTGGCGCTTGGCTGACTTCTGCGCCGCTCAGCTGGGCTGCTGCGGGGGAGCAAGTGGCTGTTTGGGCACCGTGCTCCCCATGCAGCACAGGCCACCCAGAGGGAACAGCCAGCATTTCAGCAACAGCACCGCCCAGAGGGAACAGCCAGCATTTCAGCGTTACAGACTCTCAGACATTGGGCTACTATAGATATGATTAATCCAGCCTTCAGAGGATCTTGTATGCCACTTGCAATATAATAACGCTACTGTACTGTAGCGTCCAAATATTTTGTTTTCTTTCGTTATTACCCGCACACTGCTGCAGAGTATGCATAGTCTTAGATTCTTGTCTTCAGGAGAGAGTTCGACTGGATTAACTAAAGATGTGTTGAATTCATGCAAACCTCTTTTCTGGATTTTTTTTTTTTTTTTTTGAGGGGGTAGGGTACTTGCATGGCTTAATGCAGTTTGGCTTAAATTTAGGAATCTGTGTGAACTAAACCAAAATAAGCCTGGCTTAAACTGAAATTGATACCCACATTGCCTTTTACAGCAATTATTAAAAATTACATCTTTACTTCAACTAGTACCACTTCCTGTGGTCAACATTTTTCCAACTTGCTGTCTACAGTCAAATTTTCATTGACGTTCAAAAATAAAAATGGCCTGACTTTCAGAATTACTGAATCCTGCAGCTCCCAGTGATACTGGAAAGTAAGAAGACTCATTTGAGTCTAAATCTAGATTTTTGGTATCTGTCTTTAGGCACCAGAGTTTGAAGGTGTTGGCTTGTTTGTGTTTATGGTTTTCAATAAGGCCAGGTCTATACTAGGGGGAAAAGTCGACTTAAGATACTCATAGCTGAAGATGCAAATAGCGTAGCTGGAGACAACCCTACCTTAAGTTGATTTTCTGTGGCCTCCCCATTGTAGGAGGTCAATGGGAGAAACACTCCCATTGACATCCCTTGCTCCTCACAACCCCATGATCAGGGTCAATGGAGGCACCATCCGCAGTGAATTTAGCGGGTCCTGACTAGGCCGACTAAGGCAAACCCCAGAAGATCGATCTCTAGAGCATTGATCTCCAAGTAAGTATAGACAAGGCCTTAATTACTTTCTGCTTGTCTTTCAGTACTGAGTGGACCAATTAAGTAATTAGCTCAAGTGAATTGATTTTAAAACTAAAAACCTGCCCATTGATATTTTTTTTTTTAAACCATGCTGAGGCTTTGTAAAAGCAACTTAGAAACATTGTGCTATTGCAAATGTAGATGGAAAATGTATAACAACCGAATAAGTTTGTTTTTAATACTACTTCCGGAAGACTCTTATGACTTACATATAGCTCCTAGAAGATTTACCTGACATTGCTCGGATCCTTCAGAGCAGGGGGATGGGAGTAGTGGGGGGTGCAGGACTCAGGGGCGGGAGTTCAGGGCTGAGCGTGGCCAGCGGCCGCTTCCCAGTGCAGGCCTGGGGCAGCTGGGGTCATCCGTGTTTGCTGCCCCCCTGTGCTCATTCTGGACTATAATTCTCCCTGCAATCGCAGCCCTCCCTTTGTTTCTCATCAAACAGAATCACATTCCACACATATCCCATTGTCCTGGCACACCCAAACCCCTGGTGTGTTTTAAGTTACGATCAGAGGAATCTGCATTCCATATTTGGTGGCCCTACCTCTTACCATTTAGGAGGATTTCTTGAACAAACAGACTCAGAGACACAGACAGACATACAAACTCTTTCTCATATATATATATATAAACAAACTCTCTCTCTCTCTCTCTCTCTCTCTCTCTCTCTCTCTAGTCTGTAGATTGGCAACAGTATTGAATACTGAGGCCCTTATCTTTGAAACACTTAACTGTGACACTTCAGTCGCAAATAGCTCCATTGACTTTGGTGGGACTGGTTATTCTCAGAGTTAAGCATGTACAAGGGTGTTTGTAGTATCGGAATGTAACAAAGTCTTCAACATTTGACCATTCCCTTCAAAACAAAATTGTTGACAATGCACAGTCGATTTTTAAAACATATACAAAGATGACAATTTTTTACACGCCAGCCAAAATTTGCCTGAAATCAGGAAATGTGTATTAGGCACTTACGAGATTTAAAAGCACACATCCAATTCTTTCATATTACAAACCCCGAATGGAGAACAGCCTAATAAAGCATTTCAGGTTTCTTGACCTAGGGAAGTTCACTATATTAGAAGGTAATGTTTAGATTCAAATATAGTAGAGGAATTACTAACGTCTTGTTTCACCATAGATGTATGTTCAGTGTGTACTTCCAGTAAAAAGTCTCCATGTAAATCTGAAATGCTAAGAATGAGAGAACTAAAACGGGTACCAGATATTCTCTTCAGCAATTCAAGGTTTTAAAATGGGGACAATATAATTAGCAGCAAATCTGATACAAACCCCTCTAATTTTTTAACGTGATTTTTATCCTCACTGGTTGAGTATCTTACTGCAGCCATGATGGAGTAAATCTTTTTCTCCAAGCAGATGGGAACTCAGGTATTGATTTCAGGGAGAGGATCAAATATCTTATTTCCTCGTAACATGCTGTTGTGTTGACCCTAAAAGGGGCTAGGGGAGTAGTGCAGGAGAAATAGTTTTCAAAGTAGCAAACAAAGCATAAGGTGATCCTTAATACTGTCACTTTATTATTTTTCCTCTGCACAGTCTGATACCTCTGGGGACTACGAGACCACACTACTGAGGATCTGCGGAGGGGATGACTGAAAGTAGAATCATAAGGCGCACAGAGCTATTGCTTTTTCTGCAACCTACAGTAATGCTTCCCGTGAAGCTTTTTAAATGTTATAGTAAGCATAAAATTGCAATGTGCTGACTGCATTCTCATCGAGTAGCATAATAAACAGGTGTTTGTTTTAGGGCATCTCTTCTGGCTGTTTTCTGACTGCGTACTGGCCTCTGGATAAACTGCTTAAAAGAATAGAAGTCAGATCTCCAGCTATACACTGTGCTCCCCTGTAAACAAGAAGACTGTAAATAGTTGCCACCTTTCTACAGCATCAGAAAAAGTAACATTGTCTTGCAGTAGGGGCAGAAAGCAACTCAGTGAAAGGTCAAATTTATAGATACACAGGCTGTGTTTGGTTGCTTGCATTGGTGAACTGATTGTGTAAACACTGGATTCTTCTGAAATAAAGTTAATCCAAGGAGCTCCCTTGAGGATTTATTTTATTGTAATAGTATTTATGACCCCCAATCAGGAGTATACCCCCTATCGTGCTAGGTACTGCAGAAACATGGCCAGACTGGGCAGGAGCTGAAATGGTTGGAGTCCACAGAGGTTAGTTACTGAAGTGTATGTTAACATAGCATAAATATAATCTGTAACCTGGAAACTTAAGCTTCAGAGGGGTAGCCAAGTTAGACTGTAACTGGAAAAACTTAAAAAACAATGAATAGTCTTGCAGCACCTTAAAGACTAACAAAACATGTAGATGGTCTCATGAGCTTTTGTGGGTACAAACTACTTCTTCAGATGAAAAGTGGGTTTTACCCATGAAAGTTCATGAGATCTTCTACATGTTTTGTTAGTCTTTAAGGTGCTGCTAGATTATTCTTAGGGTTTTTTTAAAGTTTTTCCTGCAAACTTAAGTGCAGGACACAAAAGAAAAAGATGGTTTCAACAAACAAATAGGTGGTACAGGGTAACAATGAAGCAATGCTGGCCAACATTGGGAACCTGAGAATATAGAGACAAAGTTGCTCTGGGGGTATAATTTGCATTAGTGTGTTCAGAGAGCCAGGCAGAGCTATAGACACAATTGATCTTTACACACTGCCAGCTGAGGGCCTTTTGGGAGAAAAATGAAAGATTGTGGAGGATGGGAGGAGACAAGTGGACTGGGAGAAATCCCTTTGTTCATTAGTCTGGAAAGTCGTAGTGGCTGCAGGCCCCCTGGAACATCTATTCTGAATATCCTATTAGCTACGGGCTTGCTAAGCAGAGCTCATGGCCATTCCTGAACAAATAAGTAGGTCGGAGCCTGTACAAAGGATGTTTCACATGAGAAAACTGAACAGTTGTTCACTTCAAAACATTCTTCAGCGAAATGCCAAGTGAAACTAGAGCTGCAGTTGGGCTGGTCCTACGAGGAGTGAAAAACGGTTGCAACTGGTAACTTCCCTCAGAGCCAGAAGAAATGTGCATGCAGTTGCTGTGCTTCATTTCCACACTGCTCACTTCCTTAATCCTTTTTTGGTGAGTAAGCCCTCTTGGTGAGGTGCACAGTAACCGCGTGGTCTTGTGTGCTCCCTGTTGGATGTTCCCTTAGTGCAGTTTTATGCAGCTTCCACAAGGTGGCAGGGTCAGTTAATAGGGACCTGTAATAAGCGGAATTGGGTGGTTTTTTTAAAAGCTGGTTTTAAGGTTTTGAGTGCTGTGGGGATTTGGGGTTTGTTTTATTTGGAGGTTGATGGCATATCTGGGCTTTGGGTGATTTCAATATAGTTTTAAAATGGTGGTAGGAGTGGTTTTGGTGACTGACTAGTGTCAGCACATATGTATGTTATTGGAATACTAAAATCCTCCTTTTCCCAATCCTGTTCACTCCAGATTTATGAGCTTTCTAGTTCACCCTCTTGACACATCTTGTGTTCCAATTTTTTGTCCCACGCTGGGATATGTTTCAGTGGTTCAGCACAAGAATGTACCATACCGAGGCAACAGAGACCACGGAGAATGGAGAGAGTGAAAATGACCTTTCTAATAATGTAAGTACGCATAGAATCATACAATACTAGAACTGGAAGGGACCTTGAGAGGTCATCAGTCCAGTCCCCTGCCCTCATGGCAGGACCAAGCGCCATCTAGATCATCCCTGATAGATGTCTGTCCAACTTTCTCTTGAATATCTCCAGAGATGGAGATTCCACAACATCCCGAGGCAACTTACTCCAGTGTTTAACCACCCTGACAGTTAAGAAGTTTTTCCTAATGTCCAACCTAACCCTCCCTTGCTGCAACTTGAGCCCATTGCTTCTTGCCCTATCCTCAGAGGCCAAAAAGAACAATTTTTCTCCCTCCTCCTAGTAACATCCTTTTAGGTACTTGAAACCCGCTATCATGTCCCCTCTCAGTCTTTTCTCTTCTAAGCTAACAAGCCCAGTTCTTTCAGTCTTCCTTCATAGCTCATGTTCTCTAAACCTTTAACCATTCGTGTTGCTCTTCTCTGGACCCTCTCCCAATCTTTCTTGAGCAGAAGGATGACTTCTCGTGTCTTGCTCACAAGACTCCTCTTAATGCTTCCCAGAATCATGTTTGCTTTTTTTGCTATAGTGTCACACTGTTGACTCATTTAGCTTATGGTCCACTATGACCCCTAGATCCCTTTGTGCAATACTCCTTCCTAGACAGTCGCTTCCCTTTTTGTAGATGTGAAACTGATTGTTCCTTCCTTAGTGGAGTACTTTGCATTGGTCCTTATTAAACTTCTTCCTATTTACCTCAGACAGTTTCTCCAGTTTGTCCAGGTCATTTTGAATTATGACCCTAATCTCCAAAGCACTTGTAACCCCTCCCAGCTTGGTATCATCTGCAAACTGAATGAGTGCACTCTCTATGCCAATATATAAATTGTTGATGAAGATATTGAACAGAACTGGTACCAAAACAGACCCTTGCAGAACCCCACTTGTTATACTCTTCCAGTAAGATTGTGAACCGTTAATAACTACTCTCTGAGACAGGTTATCCAGCCAGTTATGCACCCACCTGATAGTAGGCCTATTTAGGTTGTATTTCTCTAGTTTATTGATAAGAAGGTCATGCAAGACCGTATCAAATGCTTTACTAAAGTCAGGGTATACCATGTCCACTGCTTCTCCCTTATCCACAAGGCTTGTTATCTTATCAGATTGGCTTTACGTGATTTGTTCTTTACAAATCCATGCTGGCTGTTACCTATCACCTCATGATCTTCCAGATGTTTGCAGATGAATTATTTAATTACTTGCTTCATTATCTTCCCTGGCACAGAAGTTAAATTGACTGATTTATTTTAATGTGTAAGTTAGTATTGTCTGCTGCAAAACCAGAAGTACTAAGAATACGGAATTTTTATAAAAATGCCTCCTCCTCTCCTTTTGAAGTGGATTAGCTTGTTTTGAAGGGCAGTGTTACTCCCCCCCCCCCCCTTTCCCTTCCAGCTTTGGCTAGTCTGAGTAGGGAGCCAACTTTCCTGCAAATGGTAGGATTACATAGCATGGTACAAAAGTCTTATAGCTATGACTGAAAGCTGTAGTGTAATAAGATATTGGTTTCTAGCAAATCCTGTTATGTGCTAAAACTTTGCTCAGCTGTAAGAGACTCTCTAATTCATCTAACACTGACCACTTTGTTCAATCCTAACCAGCACTTCACACGAAATTTCTCATCGCCGCCCTGTTCTTTAGACTTCACACTTCGCATGGTCATGCTAGTACACATTACTGTAGGAACTGGAGCAGAAGAGGACTTAATGTTAGAAGAATCCATTTAGCTAAGTTCCCTGGCAGCTGCACAACTGCCTATTTAGTGCCACATGACCTGCCACAGCTGGGGGAGGGCCACTCCTCTCCTGACCCAGCCCTGAACCTAGCCTAGCCTCCAGACTATGGTGTCTTGAAGAGGGGTGGCTTGAACCCAGCACCAGCTGGGGAGTCCCTGCCTGCAGTTCTGCCACGAACCAGACTTCGTGTGGTTGGGATGCTCTGCCCTGCCTTGAATTCATCCGTGGCAGGAGCACCCTTCCCCCAGTCACAATACTAACATGAGCAAAATTTGCCATGGGCAAGGCAATCCTACCCTGGCTCAAACTGCAACTGGGGTAGCCTGGACTTGCTGGGACATCCCTACCCCCAGCCCAAATGCAGGCATGGCCAGGGTGGCCCAGATCTACCGCAACCAGGGCGCCTCTACTCCCAACTAGGGATATCAAGAAGCATGTAATTTATTAATCGTGTTTGTCAATGACACCATTAATCGATAAGGGAGAGCACTCGGTCCCGGATTGTGCTGGGTCCGGCAACTACCTCCCTGCAGCTCTGCAGGGAAAGTCATTTAGGAGCCAGGCAGCCTGACCCAGTCCCGGCTTGCACCAGGTCCAGCAACTGCCCTACTCCCAACTAGGGATATCAAGAAGCATGTAATTTATTAATCGTGTTTGTCAATGACACCATTAATCGATAAGGGAGAGCACTCGGTCCCGGATTGTGCTGGGTCCGGCAACTACCTCCCTGCAGCTCTGCAGGGAAAGTCATTTAGGAGCCAGGCAGCCTGACCCAGTCCCGGCTTGCACCAGGTCCAGCAACTGCCCCGCTGCAGCTCTGCTGTTATTGCAGAGCCGCAGCAGGGGTAGCTCCCTGGACCCAGCCCGAGC